CTCTTTTCCCTCTTTTCCCTCTTTTCCCACTTTTCCTCTTCTGTCTTTTCTCTCTTTTTTTCTACCTCTCAAGGAAGTTTGATACTTTTTCTGTACTGTACCTATGACAGATCAAACAGGGAAGCTTACCTCCTTATTCCTGGAATATTAGCTTGGAGGAGTCATAAGGTCCAGGAAACTTCAAATGAAAATCTGCTTTTTTATTCTTTAGAAACGTAGGACCAATAACTCCTTTTGGATCTAGTGTGGAATGAAAGGAAACTGCAACTAACCATTTTCTGCTTATCATCAACAGACAGATAGTGAACGTGTTATGTTGGTGACAGGACCAAATATGGGAGGCAAGTCATGCTACATGCGGCAGGTGGCACTGATAGCACTAATGGCACAGACTGGAAGTTATGTCCCAGCAGACAAAGTAGAGATGTCTGTATTAGATGCAATATACACAAGGTATTTTACTTTTTTGCGTGTTTTTATCTATTTGTTTTTATGGTTTCCAGTGGTGTCCTTTTTTGTGTGTGTGTGTGTCTTCATGTGGTTAAAAAGATATATTTTTATTGTCATACTGGTGATAAAAATTTGACCATACTCATACAGAATGGGAGCAGCAGATGAGATCTATACAGGACGCAGTACCTTCATGGTTGAAGTTGGTGAAACAGCAGACATCATGCATGAGGCCACTTCACGTTCTCTTGTTATTCTTGATGAGTTAGGCCGAGGGACATCCACACATGATGGTGTTGCTGTAGCTATGGCAGCTCTTGAGTACTTCCTGAATGAGGTAATAATGCAGAAAAATTATCTTTATATCATTATTAACCCATTGGATCCAGATGCTTCATTACCATCACATAGTCCTAGATATGAACATAGGCTTACTTGATCAGCTTGTAGGCCATGCACATACAAACACTTACACTTTAAGCAAACACTTTAAGGAGTAAGAGAAAAAAAAAGTCTTGATTAAATATATACAACTTACTTCCACAGGCTGCTAATGTAGAATGTGCACAATAATTTGTTCAAGAATACTTTTTTGTGACTGCTCTTTTAATAGGTATACTTGGATGAAAACACTCATAATGTAGATTACAAAAATATATTTTTAAAAGATAATTGATTATTTTATACACTAATGTTTCTCATCTGTAATATATTTTGAAAATGTCTTTCTTAATCATATATCTTCTGATTTGGGGGGCCACTGAAAATAGGTGCAGTGCTTGACCATCTTTGTAACACACTACTTGCCTTTGACTGAATTTGAAATGATATATCCGGGCCTCGTTGGAAACTACCACATGTCATTCATAGTCAATGAAGAAGGTGAGTGCTGACTTTTAGAAGCTAGTCACTTGGGTTCTTGCTTGGATTTATGATATTTTTTGTTATAGTAAATATATAATATATATA